TTTTTTTTTTTTTTTTTTTTTTTTTAACTGAGTTTATGGAAAAACTATCAGCTAGAAAAGTGACAAAGAGGAAGAAATAAACCTACCGCCATCATCCGGTTTTTTACGGTTAGATTAACACACTCATGTAGATGTGTGTGTACGATCCAACGGTAAAAAATCCAGTGAGAATAGGAATATGGCAGACATTATGCTACAAAATTATTTATTTATTTGTCATCAACAACAATTTCAATAGAAGATTAATGATTTTAAAAGTGATGTGGTATTGATTCGGGCTCTTCATATAGTAAAAGGCTTGGAAAAGATGACAAGATCTTCATGGGACATCTTCCTTGTTCAAAACATTCAACATTAAGTGATATTTGATTTTAATTTTCTTTGAGAATCGCCTTCCAAAAAAAAATATATATATTTATTTTATCTACTAAGATTTTTCACATTATTTATTTATTCATTCATTTTGCTTTTAGAATCTTGCCTAATGCCTATAACCTCCAAGGTTCCAGCAACTCATCTCAACTTATCAATAAACAAAAAAAAAAAAAAGTAGTTTTCACCAACAAGATTACGATAGATGGTAACTGTGAATTTATGAATAAAGACTTGGAGATTAAAGAGATGATAGTCGATGAATTATGTACTTCCGTTAATACATTTGCACTTTTATTCTTATTGTTGAAAAACAACTTCGAACATATTCATATTGTTTTTTGGATGTTTTTTTATTTTGATGGGATTTTTTCCTTGTATTTTTCGTCGCCCTTTGATATACAAAACATGCACTATTTATACGCGATAAAAAGTAAGAAATCATCATGACTTCTTCACAAGTCATTGGATTGAGAAGAGACAGTTAATGGTTTAATGGTCTGTGATCCCGTTCAAATTGGGCAACGACCCTTTTCAGTTTTCACATTGAGTAATGAAATCGACACGAAGGAAGTTGTATACTGTGGTTGGTGCCCATGTCAAAATATCAGATTATTCAAATGAGATCGGCATGAAAGCCAACTTGTGTTCAGATAGGCATCGATGGTCTTTGGACACGTTATGCCAACGTAGCGTTGTCTTTGATGAGCTTACTAATGTTCCACGTCACATCTTTTACGGGCTAAAATCAGATCGACAAAAAAGTATATTATACCAAAAAAAAAAAAAAAAAAAGTTGCTTGTGGAAAAATGCAAAGAGCTAATAAATGGTGTCCCACCAAGGACTAAATGCACCAAAATAGTACCATTTGATTGCAATGTGACATTAACATCGTTTGGACAGTGGTGAAAAGTATGGAGATTAGGTTTGTACCTTCTTTTTCCTATGGAGCCATTATTGTTAAGATTGAAATGGAATGGCAAAAATGGGGAACATGCATGTCTGAAAATAGTAGCAAAATAAGTGAGATATCATACACTAACTCCATAAGTTTGGCCCAGTACAAGACTATGAGGAAATAAATACAGCCAAATAAGATGTAATAATTTGTCCCCACATGGCACAAGGGATATGGATAACCCCACATTATGAAAAGGACTATTTTCACTTATAAATTTCTATAATCATGAAAAGAAAAAATAAAAATCTCAACATTTGATGATTAGTTTATTAGTTTAATATAATAAACCATAATTCTAATCATGTTTAGGCTCATCTAAGGTATATATTAAGCCATGCTTAGTGTAGTATGCATGTAACATTTTTTCAGAGAAAGATTGTTGTTAGGCAGACCTGACAGTTAGACAATTATATTTTTTCAACATATATGCATACTTTAAAATTAAAATGTCATACTCTAAAAAATACTTTAAATAAGAGTATGACATTTTATCTCAGAAGTATGCACTTTTATTTTGAAAAAGAAAAAAGTATGACGTCGTCAACCTGCCTAACAATTAGGAACTTCATGCAAAAATTTGTGTTTTTAATTAGGATATTGGTTTTGAGAGACTTATGATGATTAAATGGGGTGGTTTTTTCACCCCTTTTTATTTTATTTTTTAACAAAAGTAAAAGAAACACAAATATGCTTGTGTGAGCAAAATCGAGCAGAAAAAAAAACCGAGTTGAATCGTGCAATTCAATGCAATTCGATTCGGTTGCGTTTCGGTTTTTTCTAATATTGCGGTGCAGTGCAGTTATAGTTTTTCATAGATTCGGTTTTCGGTTTGTACGGTTTGGTGTGGTTTTTGCACCGAACTGCATCAAAATGAATAATATGCATAGAAACATCGAGATAAAATCGAGCCGAACCTTGCATTTCGGTGCGGTATGATTCAGTTATTTTAGTGTAAAAAAATTTCGATTCGATTGTTTTATGCTAGGTTTGGTTTTTGCGATTCGGTGTATTTTTCACTGAACAACACTGTTGCTCACCCCCTATTAATATATGTGCATGTTTCCTCCTTCAAACTAGGGTTGTTCTTTTGCTAATTCTTACCATTGGAAAATATCATGTAAAACAATATAATAAAATTATGATATTTTATAGTATAAACTAAATATTTTTGTTTATGGGGGTCCCGAAGGCATGGCTAGTGACTTGAGTGAAGTCGTAACAAGAATTCTATAGTAAGCAACTCAAAGCAAAATAGAATCTAACCCGTCTAACTGTTAAATCGACTCACATGGAATGTTTGTGTAAAATTAGCAGTTAATAGTATGAGTCTCTGCAACTGGTCCATTGCATAGTTAGTATTTTTTAAGTTCACTAAACAGTAACACTAAAACATACCATTAGAGGTGATAAATTAAAGAGCACTCTGCAACTGGACCATTGCATTGTTAATATTTTTTGGACATGATGCAAATTGTAAGTGCATGTGTCCAAAAATGTTAACTTATCATAAGCATGCGTCACATAGCAATAGTTAATGTTAACACTACAAGGAGTGGATGGTGACGAATGTGGATGGTGCCTTTGGCCTTCACGATGCTATGGTTAAGGCCATCCGAGACTTATTGCAGAAGGAGTGGAATGTTCGGTTACAACATATCCATAGAGAAGCGAATTTCTCGATTGATCACATGGCAAGCTTAGAG